CCTGCTACTGTTGTGGGAGGGAGTGTTCCCGGTAGGTTTTGAATGACGTTATAGCTGGGCAGCTTGATTTTATGTTACAGTCCAGGGGCTTGTGTTTTGTTTATTATTGTATAACACCGGTGGTTTGGGTGAGGCTATTAGGGGATGGAGGAGGCCTCATAGGGGGCCCACGGAAGTGCATGTACCCCAGGTGCCAGGGAGGGCATGGCGTTTGGGGGTGTGCAGACCCTAGGTGCCAGAGAGGGTGCTGAGCAAGACAGGGCTGTGGAGAGCCCAGGGAGGACAAGGGGGCCAAATTGCAACAAGGCCCAGACCAAACAATGTCAGTACATCTGTGAGGCTTGTGGCATGGTAAAGGGGAGGTTGGAGCCATGCATAGCCCATAAGGCTAGGGTGCCCCAAAACACCCGTTGTGACGTCTATCTTGGAGCAGAACCCACCAGGGGTCCGGAAACCCACGGGGTCCAGAGAGCCCATCAAGACCGTGTCCAAGAGAACTGAAAGGCAGCCTCCCTATCAATCATTCAATCAAAGATGTGGTGGCCAAGAATAGAGGGTGCCCATTGGGCCAACTTAGCATGGTAAGGGGGCCTTAGGGAGATCACGTCCATCCTGCAGGACCCCATCCTGTGACAAGACCCATAAATGCACTTTATTGCTATAGTTGCCAAATCATGCAACTACTGAATGTGGCTGGAAAGACCACAAGAATCGGAAGAAAGTGGGGTGATTTTATTACCTGTCTGAGTTGAATGACTGACCTGTTAAAGGGAAGGTGGGCCCAACAGCATAAACTTATCTATGATGTTTTTGATAAAATTAGTTTTTTAAACAATGTGTAAACCTGCCAGGGGTGTGCAGATAGTTACTTCTGGTGCTAGAGAGATCAGCAGTTGTACTAGTGATCCTAAGAGGATATTACCTAAGTGGACAGGAAATACCTTTGAAATCATCCATATCTTAGAGATGAAAACAAACAGTTTAGGAGTTCCATCAATACTAGAACTGCACTAATTGTCTCAGTTCCACCATTTTCTTTTTCATTTTTTTTTTTTTGAAACTGCCAGTCTCTTCTGATATCATTATAGTACTGTTGCTTATCTATAAGAAATTGGAAACAAAGAGTCTACCAAGGGACTTGGGCATCCAAAGAAGCCCCTAGGTGTCCAAGTCTAGCATTTTGGTGTTCACTGGTTTTTGCCTAACTTATAGCTAAGTACCTAACAGGGTTGGGCAAACCTGCCTAAGTCCTCGTGCTGCCAGTCAGCTCTCCGTTTTCACATCCATGCCCCAGTGGGGTGCTCATACTAGGGACCAGATCCTATTAGGCCCCTGTATGGATTTAGAGTCCAATTCTGTTCTACCTTGTTTGAGTCCCTGAAAACTGTTAACATGTCTGCTTTTTGCAGGGCTGTCCAACTTATAAGTGGCCAGGGGTTTCATGCCCCAGGTCTGCACCACCAGAGACCACACTGTGGTGGGGGAAGGAGGGGGCAACAGGCCCCAGGGCTGAATGCAGTTCTGACAACCCCCTGTTGTACCATGTGACCTATGCTCAAGTCGCCTCTCCGCACCGGGCACTGCACTGTCTCACCCCCTGCTCACCTGCTGGGGCAGGCACAGAAAGCAGAAGCTGGAGGAGGGAGGGAGAGCCCATGGACTCTGGCAGCTATTGCAGCCAGAGCAATAGGAGGAATAGCAGGCAAGTAGAAGGCCAGGGGCTGCAACTTAGCCCCTCATGGGCCATAGTGGGACAGCCCCGACTTTGTGTAACATTTCATCATCTTAGCCTTAAGGAGGAGGATGAGCCACCATCTTTTGAATCAGTGTTTTCTCAGAGGTTCAAACAAGGTGGAAGAGGAACATAGTTAGCTGGTAGGGTAGGGTCTGAAGGGACCTAAGCAGGTCATCAAGTCCAACCCCCTGCCATGGGCAGGAAAGAATGCTGGGATCAAATGACCCCGGCTAGGGGATTGTCTAGCCTCCTTCTGAAGACCCACAGGGTAGGGACCAACACCACTTCCCTAGGATGTTGGTTCCAGCTCCTAGCCACCCTGACTGTGAAGTAGCGCCTCCTGATGTCTAGCCTGAACCTACTCTGTCAGCTTATGGCTGTTATTCCTTGTTCCCCCGAGCACTACTGGGAGTTATAGGGACTCTCCCATTGCCAGCTGGTCCCCCTTGGCAAGTTCGTAGGTGGCCACCAGATCCCCTCTCGGCCTTGTCTTGTAGAGGCTGAACAGGTTCAGGTCCCATAGTCTCTCCTCATGGGGCCTACCCTGCTGCCCTCTGATCATGTGAGTGGCGCTCCTCTGGACCCTCTCTATGCTATCCACATCCCTCCTGAAGTGCGGCGTCCAGAACTGGACGCAGTATTCCAACTGTGGCCTGACAAATGTCGCATAGAGGTGGAGGATCTCCTCCTTGGTCCTGCTCGTGATGCTTCTATAGATGCATGACCAGATACAGTTAGCCTTCCTGACCGCATCCCCACGCTGGCGAGCAAAGTTCATCTTGGAATCAATAGCGACTCCAAGATCCTTTTCTGCCACTGCTGACAAGAAGGGAGTTCCCCAGCCTGTAGGTATGCTGCTGGTTTTTCCTCCCCAGGTGCAGTACCTTGCACTTATCCATATTGAAACCCATCCTATTCTCATCCATCCACCTCTGTAACCTGTCCAGATCTAGTTGTACCCTGTCCCTCTCTTCTAGTGTACTCACTTCTCCTGACATCTTAGTGTCATCTGCAAACTTGAACAGGGTGCTTCTCAGCCCCCTCATCCAAGTCACCGATGAAGATATTGAACAGTGGGGGCCTAAGGACTGAGCCCTGGGGAACCCCACTGCCCACATCCCTCCAGGTTGAAAATGACCCCTCCACCATCACTCCAAGTGTCCAAGTGTCCCTGGAGCTTGTTTCTTCTACATCATAGCCAGGTATGTCATTTTTGTTGGGGAGAGGGTACTAGAGAGGGGCTGCCTGGTATGAGCATTTATGTCCTATAGCCTCATAGCTAAAACACTTGCCTCAGCTGTGGGAGAATCAAGCTTGAGGTCCTGCACCAAATCAGGCAGATTTGGATTTGAAAATGGGCCTCCTACTGCCCAGGTGAGTGCTCAAACCGTTGGGCTACTGGGTGCAATTGAGTAGGGATTCACTTTCTGGTTTGTTTGTGGGGGTTTTTTCCATGAGAAATGTAGGAGAATGCTAACAGCTGAGAATCCACTTCTCCAGGTATCCTAGTAGCCAGCTTAGGCAGCTGCCTGTTCAACTTGCTGCCTTCTGTGGTTCCTGCTCTTAGCTGCCTAGAGCTCCCCACGCAGTAGATCTCCTGGATCCCTGCAGTCCATGGGATTGAGAACTCCTCCACTGGGTGGCAGTGCCCAAGTCTGGGATATAGCCCCAGAGCCTTAATCAGAATGTGATATAGAACAGCCTGCCTCCACAGTCATGTTTCCCTTCTCAGAGAAAAGAAAAGGTTGCAGCTTTTGGAGAAGAGGAGAATGATGGATTTGACAATATTTGGAGAGGTAGAAAGCAATACCAGCAAATGATGCTTCCTTCCTCAAAGTGCGCAGAGACCCACAAAGCAACTCTTCTATTGTTTCTTTTTTCTCCCAAAGGTTTTGAGCATGGGTTACTGGATTGTTTTAATTTATTGCTAACCAGAGAGCAGTTGTTGTATCTTTCCAGTGTTTTCCTTGGAGTTCCCATTTTGACAGATATTACTGATTGCTGTGTTTGAGAGCAGCACAGCAAACTGCTGTACAAAGCCCAGTCTTGCAAGCATTGCAGTTCTATCCTCCAAATCATTTTCTTCCCTGCTTTCCCCCAGCCCTCTGCATCAAGAAAATAACTTGGTGACAGCATGGGGCATGCCTCCTTTTCTGGCATAGGTACGAACAGTCCCAGTCATTAAACCCAGATGGCATAAATCAGATGTCTTTGACAATAGCTGGAAGTATGCCAAGATACTGTGGTGCTCTGTTCATGAGCTTCCACTCCATGTTAAAGAGCTACTCTCCCAGGCCCAACAGGAGAGCCAGTGAGTATGGCAGCTCCAGCATCCTGTTGCTTACCTAGCAGAGAAGGGGCTGCAAGTGTTGGGCAAGAAGCAAAGGGATAAAATCAAGCTGTCTGTGCTCCTGCTGATGGGTTAGACTGAACTTCAGGGGTACTACAATGCCAGCATATACCACCAAGTAAAATTCCATCAAACATGTGAGATGCTAGCCTTTGGCTTGTACAGAGACAACTTTCTTAAGAAATGAGCTTTGCCTCTCTGATTTTTCTCTGATTTACCATTGATCCCAAGGGCTAGACTGTGACTGGCTGTAGGTATGTGCAAGGAAGTATGCCTCTATGCATCTTGTCATGTCACACTATTAAGCTAGGCCAGGGCTGTTCAACTTTGGAGTGTCAAGGGCTGTATGGAGCATCTGTGTTCAGCACCCAAACTCTCTCAGATACCCCGCACTGTCTGAGCTACAGTAGTGTCACATGGTCCCTCAGCTGTGCATGCTACACAAGACCACTGGGCCCTGACTCCACCACATGGCAGTAGGAGAGGCAGCCATCACAGTCTGCAGGCCACATGTTAGCTGCTCATGGCCTGCACACAGCCCACAGGCCACCGGTTGGACAGCCCTGAGCTATGTTACTTGCTCATTTTCCCCCAGAGCTGGTAGGAGAGCAATAGACATGAGCAGAGCCATACGTTCCTTGCTCAGGATAGCCAAGCTAGTGTGAGAGAGCAGGTAGTAGTTAATTTTCTGCTGGACTACACCAGGAGTTGTTATCCCTGGAACAAGGTAGAGTCAGGGGAGAGGCTGATTGTGAGGAGTGCCTGGGTCACCAGGCCTCTAGTAGCTCATGTTCTGTCCTTTGCTTTGTATTGGACCTTGAGTGAAAATCTGCCCGATATCCAGATGGTCTTGACAGGCTTCCCTGCATGGGATAGACTCAGCAGGATGGAGGAAGCAAGGCATTACCAAGGGTATCAAAATCTGGCCTTTTAAGCACATGCTAAAGTAGAATACTGGAATAGTAGATAGCCAGGGATTGACAGGAAAGCATACATGAACAAGGGCAGCAAGGAAAATATAAGTCATCCTGACAGTCAGTGGAACCACATGAGGAGATGCCCCGTAGCTTCTGCCCCTGAGCCCTCACCGTGTAACAGCTGCTACCAGACTGTTAATTATGTTTCTGCAAAAAGGCATGTGAGATCATATTGGCAGTAGAGAATTTAATGTCATTGACTATCGGTGAAGCAGATAGATGGGTGAATCTTTTGCTCCTAGAATCAGTAGCTAATTCAACAATGTATATATGGGTACAAATAATGTTGCAATGCGCCTGTTTACAGCCTCCTTTCCTCCATATGTTTCTGTTTACATTTCTTCCTGTTAGATGTGATCTTTCCCTTGCCAAATTCCACCACGGCAGAGCTTGAAGAGAGGCTGCACACCATTGCATTCAGGAGTTCTCAGCTTGGCACAAAGGACCGGGGGTAGATGGAGCTTTATGTAACCACAGAATAACTTCTAGTCACCGGGGAGTAGCACAGGAGGGGGGTTTGGCAGCTTTTAAGAAAAGAGATGTCAAGTTATTCTGTATCGTCTAAAGTTGCAGAAAGTATTGAACTGTTGTGGCATAGATGCAGCCCCTGAAGTATTGTTGCTGTGCCCCCCTCACAAATACAATCCAAGTCCCTACCCCCAGTGGAGTCTGAAGTGTTTTGATTACTCGTTATACCAACTATTGTCCATGATTGGCATGCTGCAGCTCCATCCATTGAAGTTGCTCCTAATTCAGCCCAAGATCTCTAAATCCCAACCAAAAATTTCTTGCTGTGTGGCAAAACCAGATGCCTGCTGCAGGCCCAGTTCTGATTCCACATGCCCCAGTGTAACTCCCTTGATTTCATTGTAGTTACTCCTGATTTACACTCTTTGCCCTGCACAGAGATCCATCTATAGTGGGTAAATAAGGAAGGGTTATTTTATATACAGAGGTTGCCTGGCAAAGGCTCTTACTTCCTCTTCTTGAGGAATTCACAGATGAAGTAGATAGTGAGGTGACACTCGGAGTCATTCCATTCCCCAGTGCTGAGCATCTCCACACAGTCCTCGTGCCCAGACGTGTCCCTTGGCTCCCCTTCCTTCCAGTTGCTGTAGTTTTGCAGTGGGGTGTTGTCCGCATACACAAAGTGTCCTTCCTTCTCCATATCGTTCACCCCTATGAACACTCGGAAAAGGCCGCTCTTGGAGATATAGTCTGCTATGACTGCATTGGTTGCGTCATCTCTTGGCATAGCCAGCATTCCCCCTCTGATCCTGCAGTGGGTCAGTGCTTCCCTGTAGCTCTTCTCTTCCTTCACGATGTAATAGAATTTCTCATCTGTTTCCCTGATTCCTGCAATTACTATAGGAAGAAAAAACAAACATTTTTTTTCAATGGTCTTTCTGCAAGTCTCTCCCCTTTTAAAAAGCGTGATGACAGGAAATAATCAAATAGAGCTGGGAAAAGGGAGTCTTAGAGTTGAGTTTATTGCAATAGTGAGGGGTGAAATGGAGAATGATGTTAATAAGAAAGACTGCTGAATCCCCAGTTCTGACTACCCCCCTTGATAGTTTGGTTTTGGGCCTTTTCTGAAGCAGAAGTTGTCAGGTCAGGTCTTAGATGGATGAACAAAAATGCACAACTCAGCAGAGACCTTCAAACCCTGATTTCATATAGATTTCAGGGTGGTGCTCCAGGAAAAGAACCTGTTAGGCTGTTAACAATATTAGAGTCCTCCCTGTGTAACTAGAGACCAGAATTCTCAAACTCAGTTAAGCATTTAAATTTGGCCTGGTTTTCAGAGCTGCTCAGTATCCACTAACGACAGAGGGGCTCTAGGTGCTCAGTAGCTCTGGTAAGCAGGCCTCTTGGGACATGTCTGCATGGTGCCAGGCAGTGCTGTGCAGTTACCTGCGCATGCTTGCTCCAGAGCTGGAAACAGTAGGGCTGCAGTTCCATAACACTGCCTCCAAGGTAATTCGCTCTGCTGAGCTGCCGTGCTGCTCCCAGTTCCAGAGCTCACACCTATAAAGCTGGCTTGAATACCTTGTCACAGGACTGCCTTGTAGTGGAGAGGCTCTGCTTTGGGACTTGGCACATTCACAACTGATGTAGGACATTGCTGTCTGGTACTCCATTGTGGTGTGGAGGCAAGTAAGTAGGATACAGCTATGTCCTATATATTGGACATGACTGAGTTTCTCTCCTTTCCCATGAAGGAGCAGGTGTTGTTGTACCTTTCCAGTGGGTGCAGCATGTTCCTCACTGCATGTTTCGAAGGGTCCAAGGGAAGCTCCAAGATCTTCACTCCTCACTCACTACTGTGCCTGAAGCCCCTTTAGGCTGTTGGCTGGCTCAGTGGCAATAAGTACCATACCTGCACTCAGGGGAACACCGGGATTACAGTAGCATGTGGCTATTGAAGGGGTAGGAAGCTTTTTGTGTTCTCCTGTACCTTTATGCCCTGAGCAGCAGATTGGCACAAATTTGTTCCTTGTATAGTGAAAATGGATATGATATAGTGCTCTTTCAACTGGCTGCAGAGATGCAAGAGAATACATTAGGGAGAAAGTGGAGAATGACCTAAAACCTTTAATTATATAATATGTATTTTTTTTTTTTAAGAAATTAAAATTACAGCAGACAACTTTGTGCTTTTTCAAACGATGCCCCTTATGGTTGGGTAGAGGTCTGCAAAGCCACCTCATTGTCTTACCTCAACTCACTTCTTAATCTTTACGTTAATTACAAAGACTCCCTAGGGGTCACGCAGTTGCTGTGCCACGGCTAGTGCTGTTTGTGGTGACTGCTATCAACTCATTGTTTATCCTTGTGCGGCATCTAGTTTTTTCGGATTTTTCTTTAATCCACTGCTCATCTGTAGTCTGTGTAAGTTCTTTGAGACAGTGGGCGCATATACACGTTGCGCTATGGTGACATAGCAACACACTACATCACTGTTCAGTGCACTACCACAGTATAGCGGTCATGTGTCTACATGTAATTGCCAGCCATGTCACCGTAGTGCTGCGCTCCCTGGTTATAGTGTGCCACTGTGGCAATGTAGCAACAAAATCTACCCATGTGTGGCATGCACAGCACAGTACCTGCCTGTACTGCCCTGTGCTTTAGTATTTCCTTTTAGCATGGCATTGTAACAGCGTCACCATACGGCAGTGTAGACATGCCCAGTCTCTCTTTGTCGCATGTTTCTACAGTGTGTAGCACAGTAGGGTCCTCTTTTTGTAGGTGTCACCAAGACAGAACAGTAACAATAAAACCTGGCAGGAACCAAATGAACTGTATAAAACAGATGACAGAGCTTACCGTTTTTTACAAATTTCATGGATGTCTTCAGTCGAGCAACGTTAATATCCAGTTGCCCAACAACTTTGCGGTACCTCCCACAGTCACAGACCGTGCCTGAATCAAGAGAGGGACATTGGATGCATCAGCTGAGAAGGCTGGTGTGTGGGGTTCAATAATTCTTGACCTGCCAATCCACACTCAGGCCCTCTAGAAAACCTACTGATTATTTGCTGGAAGTTAGCATTTTTACCCCTGATGCTGCTTTCACTTATGACAACACGCCTGTTTATCTCAATAGGAGCACATTTGTGCTTTGTTACAGTCCCATATTAACTTTTTATATGTGTTTTGGCTTAGATTTTTCCCCTCTTTTAAATATCCTTAGTTTTGAAAAATATTTTTTCCATGGTCAGGGTTTTCTTTCTGTTCTCCATATCTACAAAGTAGGACACTTAATTGTCCACATCTCTTCCCCTCCCATCCATTCCCGTATCCTACTGCAAGGCTTCCTACATCATGGCTATTTCCAGAATACTTGTGGCAGAGATGAAAGCAGGGCAAGTTAACCCATTTGTGGGGTCCACTATTACTATCAGCTTCCCCAAAGGAGCTGGCTATGTCTTAGCACAGGCATGGGATTGAAGCCCTCAAGGAGCAGAAAACTTCCATTAGGTCAGGGAAAGAGATGAGCATGCTACAAAAATGGAATGATCCCCTTTGCTGGCAGATGCTCTTCTCCATCGAGGGACACAGAAGAAGTCACAGAGTCCATATACTGGAAACTCCTCAGGGCAATGACTGTGTCAGTAAAAGGCCCCATGAAGCTATGGTGCAGTAGAAGTAATCAATATTATCTAAAATTAGTAACAACATATCAAAACTGTTGAAGGATTAGTGATGTTTGGGCTGGTAAAACGTAACATCTTTGTTGCTGTGTGGTTTGCTTTATTCCCATATTCCTTTCCGAAAGAAGAGGGTAGAGGTTACTGTCTTACAAGAACCACAGTGGCCTAGTTTAAGAAATCTATTTAAAAAAATAAGGCTGGCTAGTGAAACATGATTTAAGGATGAAAAGTATTTAGGAACATTGGACCTTCTGGGTCACTGAGTCCAGCTTCCTACTACTGCAGACAGTTCCTTCCATAAACTGAACAAGCTCCATTTTATGAGTAATTGTGTTTCTTGCTCCTGCTACTCCAGAAAAAAAGATCTTTATACCTCTGATGGTTAGAATCCGTCTAATTTCTAGGCTATAGTTTTTTCATGGCTAACTTACATCCATCTATTCTTGTGGCAACATTTTTTTTTAGCTTCTATAGTTCTTTTTCCCTCCCTAGTGCTTGTTCCTCTGACATTCTTATCAAGAGCAATCCTATCCCCTGTCAGCCTTCATTTGGTTGGCTAAACAAGTTTAGCTCTTTCAGTCTCCTTTAAGATACACTTCCCATTCCACTGATCATCCATATAATAATATTCATCCATCCACACTCTCAAAAGCCTTGTGCAACTCAGCATTTTAAGGTGCTCGTAAAACTAAGCACAGTAGCAGATTCAACCATCCTCAGCAGAAAGGTGCAGCTTGGGTCTTCTAGTAGTAACAAACATACTGTACCTGCTTTCCCCTTTTTTCCAAATGTCCCAGTTAAACCTTTGACTCCTTTCTCACCTGAACAGAACAGAAAATGTATTTTCAGATCTCAGAAAAGAACCAACTCTGGAGACCATGTTTGAAAAAAAAAAAAAAGCCTGTTTGAAAACTATTTAGTGATGTATTAGCAGTGTGTTTTTGATAGAAGGTCCTTGGTGTGTTGTACTAGCAGATGTGCCAAATCAAACAATCCCTGACTAGCTTAGGTGGGGAAAAAATGCAGAGAAACTTTAATAGATGACTCATTGGTAGCTCTGGCTTCTTTTGGGTGGCTAGTGCCTGCTACCACTATCTCTAAATGTGAGCTACACAGAGCATGTCTACATATGAGCTTTAAGGCACAGTAGACTATTTACTGCACATTATAACATCACATAAAAACCGTAACATTATGCTAATGTGCAGTAAAATAGTCTACTGCACATTGGGTAGCATTAAAAAATCAAGCAACTGCACTGCTGTGCATTAGTGCAGCCTAATTGGTTAGTACCTAACACTGGAGGTACTAAATTTACTGTGCATTAGAAAAGATGCATTAATGCATGTGTAGATACACCCATACTGATCTGTATACAACATAAATGTGAGATGCTAGATGACTTCAATCATATTAGCAGGCCTTGAATTCTGTCACTGCCTTGCAAGGTTGAGCCCATACTTGACTATGTATTTGACTACACCATGTTGTTTTAAGACACAGGATAGAACTTAGTAGTGAGTTTACACAGAGCATGCATCTGGCGAATAATAGCTCTAGCTGAGATTAAATTTACTTCACTTCAGATAAAACCCATGGAAACATGCTATTTTTTAAATTTTTTTTTTCTTTTGATTTTTTTTTTCCTCTTATTTTGAAAATGATCCAAAAATTAGGTACCTCCGTAGTGGATAGAGTACTATAAATACTTGAGGGAATAGCTTTCTTTCAAACTTGCCAATATTTATTTGAATCTGAAAACTGCATGAGAATTTACTTCTCTCCCCTGTTAATTAAAAATTTGTTTCATCTCTGAACTAAAGTCAGTTTTCCTTGTGGTCTGTATGCTACTATGATTTTGACATCTTTTTTACCCTTCATATAATTTTTCTTTTTTCCCCCAAGATGTAAGCAAGGAATTTACTAGTTATTTCATTTCACATGGAGACTAACATTTTGGAAAAAATTTTTAAGCATTTTAATATTCTTGTACAGTAACATAAAAGCTGAAGAGAAGATGGAAGGCCTTGAATCGGACACCAAGAAATATTAATGTATCTAAATACAAGCTAAAATTATAGGGTGGCAAAAACACTCTTGGTTACTCCAACACAAATTCAGAGTAATCCCATTGATTTTTTTTTTTTTTATGTGAGGAAAAGCGCTAATAGACATTGAGCATGGTTTTCAAAAGTGACCAGTGAGTTTGGGTGCTACAATTCTTGGGGACCTAATTTGATCTGTCATAAGGGGGCAGGAGGGAGAGGGGCACTGTCCAAGGATTGATGTTCATCAAAGCCAGCCCTTTTAAAAGTATCACAAACTAATCCCTTAAAAAGTTGAGATTCCCCCCAAATGAATAGTCACTCTCCTAAAGATAGTTAGCTATTGCTTTTCTGTTCCTTAATGAAATAGGGAACTGTATTAAAGATATGTCTGCTTTGGCAAATATGGTTGTAAATATTGAGATACTTTGCCAGCAGAGCCAGCTTGCCATTTTGCAGAATGACCTTTTCCATTTATAACCTAGGTTGCCAAAAACTCCTTCTCAGTATTATAATTCAGTATACTCTACAAGAGTTATATAGCTAGTCAAAACTCAGTCCTAAGGAGCTGAAGGACATTTGTTTCATAATTGGTAGGGTCAGAAGGGACCTGAGCAGATCATCAAGTCCAACCCCCTGCCACAGGCAGGAAAGAGTACTGGGGTCAAACGACCCCGGCAAGGTGTCTATCTAGCTTCCTCTTAAAGACCCCCAGGGTAGAAGCGAGCACCACTTCCCTTGGAAGTTGGTTCCAGATCCTAGCTGCCCTGACTGTGAAGTAGCGCCTCCTGATATCTAGCCTGAATCTGCTCTTTGTCACCTTATGGCCATTGTTCCTTGTCACTCCTGGTAGTGCTCGGGGAAGGAATAGGGACTCTCCCATTGCCTGCTGGTCTCCCTTGGCCAGTTTATAGATAGCCACCAGATCCCCTCTCAGCCTCCTCTTGTGGAGGCTGAACAGGTTCAGATCCCGTAGCCTATCCTCATAGGACCTGCCCTGTTTCTGGATATCTGGAAGCCTTAAATAATATATACAGTGTTAGGTGGGAAAGAAATCTATTCAGACCATAAGATATAAATACAAAAATCAGAATTCTTAACACAGGTCACACTTAGAGGCCTGAAGTCAGATTTTTACTCCTCTTTAGGACTCTAAAAATCTAGATAGGTGCCTATCTAATGGGGTGCCAACTCCCATTCGTTTCAAGGGCTGTTCTTGAAAAGGCTACTTCACCTCTCTCATTCCCAGCCATAGAAGCATAGGCTTTCTTTACTTTAGTCTAACCAGTCATTTGCCGTATGGTAGGGAAATCCCCAGTTGACCCTTTGGAGTTCTTTTTTTTTTAGTTGCAAAGTCCATTTTTCTTTCACATTATTTAAATAATCGTTCAAGGAGTTTTTCATTTTATACCAAATACAAACAGTGCTAATGCATAGGATCTGCACAGTAACCCAGTACTGAGTACACATTAATTGTACTTTACTTATGTTACAAGTCAGAGTCAAAATTAAACCTCGAAGTGTATCAGTCAGTCATATGCTGTATCAAATTTCCATTGTATTGTAATACTTCTAAATGCTGTTCTTTTTCTCTTCCGGTTAAGTGGGCTGTAAACCAAAGAACATTCGCTTTAACAGTGTGTGAATGGTTGATGTATTTGTACAGTAATTTGCAAGTTTGTGTTTATAATTTCTGCACTTTTGTGGCCAAATGAATATTCTCTCTCCCATAGACCTCTACTAAGCTATTTCAGAAGGCCTTTTCTGAGGCTATTAAGCCATTTACTCCTCAGAATGACTGGGCATGTGCTGTTGTAGTCTTGATATGCAAGGAATCAAATGGCTCTCAGTCTAATTACTTGGTCTCAGAACATTACTTTTGAAATCACTGTCACATCTAGGGTGCAGACAGAAATGACAATTTTTGCCCAATCTGGCCACAAAAAGCAGCCTATAGTCATGACCAAACACAAGTGCACGGCTGCAGACAGCTTCAAGAGTGGCTGATCAGGTGAAAATCTGAACATTCATTGCATGAGGAGTCAGATGAAGATGTTTCAAAACAGCATCTTCTGTAACTTCTGTCTGCACTGCCTGTCACTTCAGAATGGGAGGGGGGAAAGGGACTGGCTGGGGACTCCCTAGAAAAAGCTCCCTCTGGTCCCTTTCCCCTTCCTATTTTGAAATAGGGACAGGCTGGGAAGGAGGAGGGGTCATTACTAAGAAAAAACAACTGCACCCTCCCAGCCAGCAGCTAGATTTCCCTTCCCCTGGAACCAGAAGTGAACTTCTGTTTGGTCCAGGGGATTGTTGTAATTCAGAATGCTTCCTAAAAAGTGTTCTGAGTTACAGCGGGGAACTGAACTTTTGTCTGCGCCCCTAATCTTTTTCAGGAAGCTTATCCATGACCCGCACATCAAGGTAGTTGCAACTCTGTGGCATTAATCTTACTTATTAGTCTTAAGGCCCATTAGTCTTACTTTGATCCTGGGGAAGTTCTTTGAGATGATTATCCAGGAGCACATCTGGGAAGGACTGGCACAGGGGAGGATGCTCAGGGGCAACCAGCATGGGTTTATTAGGGGCAGGTTGCGTCAGACCAACCTGATTGCCTTCTACAATCAGGTCACATAATCATTGGACACAGGTGTCACGGTGGATGTAGTCTTTCTGGACTTCAGGAAGGCCTTTGACACTGTCTCCCACCCCATTCTCATTAAAAATCTAGGTGACTGTGGCATTGATGCCTACACGGTCAGATGGATCGGAATTGCCTGAGGGGCCGCACCCAGACAGTGATGGTGGACGGGTCATATTCGACCTGGAGGGATGTGGGCAGTGGGGTCCCCCAGCACGTGGTCCTTGGGCCCACACTGTTTAATCTCTTTATTAGAAACTTGGACAAGGGGGTGAAAAGCACCCTGTTCAAATTCACTGACGACACCAAGTTTTGGCGCGAGGTGGGCATGCTAGAAGGGAGGGACAGGATATAGCTGGACCTGGACAGGTTACAGGGGTGGACGAATGAGAATAGGATGGGATTCAATACTGACAAGTGCAGGGTACTGCACTTGGGCAGTAAGAACCAGCGGCATATCTATAGGCTGGGGAACTCCCTTCTCAAAAGCACAGAGGTAGAAATAGATCTTGGAGTCATTATCAATTCCAAAATGAACATGGGCCGCCAATATGAGGATGCAGTCAGTAAGGCCAACCACACCTTGTCATGCATCCACAGAAGCAGGTCCGAGGAGGTGATCCTCCCCCTCTATGCAACACTGGTCAGGCCACAGTTGGAGTACTGAGTCCAGTTCTAGGCACTGCACTTCAGGACAGATGTGGCCAGCATCCAGAGGGTCCAGAGGAGGGCCACTCACATGATCCAACCATCAGAGCAGGGCAGGCCCTATGACAAGAGGCTACGGGAAATGAACCTGTTCATTTTGACAAGAGAAGGCTGAGAGGGGACCTGGTGGCCATCTACAAACTTACCAGGGGGGACCAGGGGGGACCAGCGGGGAATGGGAGAGACCCTGTTTACCCAAGCACCTCCCGGAGCAACAAGGAATAACGGCCATAAGTTGTTAGAGGGTAGATCTAGACCAGATATCAGGAGGCACTACTTCACAGTCAGGGTGGCCAGAA